TGCCCTTGTGCCATGTTCAAGCTCCAATCCATAGATGAAGAAATAATAATGTCACTCAAAAGTCATTACAAAAGCTCACTCAAAACTGAAAAGGGAAGAGGACTTCAGAGTCTGTAATTCTGAAGCTTATTTATTTCATCAAGGCATTTGGGGATAAAGAGCATTGTTGGGAGCTGCCTCTCAAAATGGTTCATCACATGGTCTCACTGTGATTGCTACAGATCTGGAGCAGCAACTTTCTGAGAGATAAAGATATTGCCTTTTTATTTTTTTCCTTTTATTCAAAAGCCTCATGACTGAAGTCCTCTACAGTGGATTAAACACGGTTTGTATGACTCTCTTTGCTGCACTTCATTTCAGTGCACAAGCAGTTTCCTTCTTTCACTATTTACTCTAAATACAGGTTAGTATTATGGTGGACCCTTCCAGCTTGTGCTGCCATTTTTGCCTGAGAAAAGGTTAGGCTGGCACCTGAAGCAGGTGTCTCTGAATGAGAAGTGAGTGATTTGGCAGAACTGTGGCTGCAGGACTTGCACACTCATAGCCAACCAGTGGGCGTACTTACACTCTGAGCCTGGAGCAGGGGTGTGTGTGAGAGCTTGCAATTTTGGTTTTAGTTCACATGCACTGGCCAACTGGAACCAGGCCAACACTGAGGAAAGAAGATTATCTTCATTAAATTATTAGAGCTATAGGGTCAGGGGTGAAGAACAGAACATGGTAGGAATAAGAGAGGTGAGTCGAAATAATGGCCAGAAACATAGAATCATGCAATCTTGACCTTCTGTTCTTCTATTCTCTTAATTGGCCTTTATTTACTTATTTTTGTTTAATATTGTCTGACAATGGCAAGACTTTGAGAGATCAGTTCTTTGTACAGTCTACAAAGCGTACGGGTGTATTATTGCAATTCTAATCCTTAACAAAGGAATCTTCTCTGATTCCTATTAGAAAGTAAACATTGTGCTGCTTTTACACTGGGCCACAGCTATTATTAGTGGCTCTTCACTGTTCATTCCTGTTAATTGCAGGATGTCTTCTCTCTCAGCAGGTATTGACCAAATCTACAGACGATGGGGAAACATTTGCCTTGGTATAAATGGTCTGTCGTTCTGCATTATCTAGGCTGGTGGTTTTACAAAATATTAAATCCACATTATGTCAAAATGGAGGAAATGGAGTTGTAATCACACTGATGCGTGACGCACAATTAAGAATGTTTGTAAATTTGCATTTATGAATAAAACTCAGGTTTAAATGGGTATTCAGTAGACATTAATGAGATTTTAAGGACAAGGCTAAGGTGCATTCGTACAATATGAATCAATGAAGCATGCGTGCTGAACAAAAATGTGAGCATGGATAACACATTCCTTAATGAAAGAGTCAGAAAAAGAAAAGTGTTGGCAGTTTCAGTGCTCTCGTCATCAGCCTTCACCATGCTTTTGAAAGGATTAAATGCTGGCAGCAGGGCTGGGTGTTGGATCACCTGGAGGGACAGCAAATATTGCTCTGCTCAGATAAATTATGAAAATGTGAACAAGTTTCTCATAACTCTTCCTACGCCTGGCTCCTGCAAGCATGCGACCTTTAGCCCTCCCTCACTGTTTACGAAATCAATTTGCTTTTAGATTGCTGGGTGAAGGAGGGTAATAGAGCTCAGCTGACATTTGAATGTGTGGGAAATGCTGGTAGCTTTTTTCTTTCCTCTTCCCCTTTTCTAATTTGCTGACCCTTCAGTGTCTTCTCTAGCAATATTTTATATAGACAGGTTTGGCTTTATTGCCGCCTCAGGCATCTACGTGTGCAGATGTTCAAGTAATGTTTGGAAGCACCAAGTATGTGTATTAAGTTTTTGCCTTAGGCGATTTTGATGAATATTTGATTTGGGTGAGAACAGGTATTTTAGTGAACACCATAGAGTAAAATATTCAGAAACGATGAACTATTAAAAGGTGTTAAAGCATCCACAATACATGTTTTTCCAGCCTATGCCTACAACTGACCTATCTCCAATTCTTCTAGAAAAAAGCAGGGCTGAGCAGACCTTTGCCAGTTTGAAATGTGTTTCAAGGAGATTGGTAAAGCAAAGAAACTTGAGCCAAAAATGGTAATTGCAGACAAAATAGCAAAACCAGATATCTGTGAAAGGTAGCCATTGTGACTGGCTTGCTATTTATCACAGCATTCGCTTCTTAGTAGCTCCTGCTCAGGCACATGTTGAGAAATTGGAGGGAATTCCAAAAATAAAAATGATTAGTGGGAAGAAAGGATTGACTTTTGGGAGAAAAATCAGAAAAACTAATTATGCAGAGCTTGGCTAAAGGAGAGCTCAGGAAAGAGGCATATATCTACCTACACCTGTAAGCTGGATGTCAAATCAACAGCAAAAGAGGAAATGGCAAAATAGTGGCAAAATTGGGGGGTCTGAGAGGCAGAATGGGGAAAACAGTTTAATCACTAGAAAATGCATGTTGGAGGTGGAAATGAGGGTTTTCACAAATTTAGGTTGAATGTGATCTATATCAAAACCCAAAATAAAAAAAAAAAGAAATTTGTTTTAGATATCTGAGGCATTTAATTTCAGTGCTTCTGAATGCCATGTTTTTACTTTTTCACATTTCAAATGATGTTTTAAGGCTGCATATAGTTATACTTCTTTTTTATAACAGTTAGAAAAGAAAATGAACAAAAAAAAATGTTGGTTTAAATTAAAAGAACTGTTTTATTTGGCCTGAAAAATGCAGGGGACGGGGTCTTTTATTATGGTGAGGAAAAATAAATGTTTTTCATTTCCAATCAACCTTGAATAATTCCCCTCCCCCCAGTTTGGCAACAAAACCAAAAAAATCAATTATTCACAGAGCTCTATTCCTCAGGGCACAATTAAGAGTAATTGGAAAAAATTAAGCGCAAGAGAGAATGTAGACTTCAATAGCAGGACTAGCTTTTCTCCTGGTGAGACATACAGGCTTGCTCCTGCAAGATGCTGAATGTTTCTTAGGAGATGCTCTGTCCCATTTCAGCATCTTTTGGTAATCACCTGCATCGTTGGGACACTCTTAAACTTCCTGAGCGCAAAGCTCAAAATGGCAATAGTCATAACTTCTCAGGGAAAATTCTCCACTACATCAGGCATTAGGATTCACTTGCATCTTGTCCAGAAATGGAGGCGACAACCCAAAAGCATCTCTCTTTCTCTAACTCGCATCATCTTGCAGGGTAGCAGCTGGCTTAACACTATCTGTTCATTGCTGCAATTTCAGTTTTGCAAGAAGCTTCCTGTAGCAAGTCAGACAGAATTTCTGGAGTTCCCTGCTGGGTGTTAAAAATATATATATATTCATGGAGCATAAGACTAGAAGGGGGGCAGGGGGAGAGTAGGTCAGGCTATAATTAAATCATGCAGTTTAACCCCTGCACATCATGGCCCCCTCCCTTTTACTCCTATAACCAGCAGTGCAATTTGTGTTTGTCATAATGATTTTATATTTACTTCCCAAAGATGTGATTCTTGGCAGGCAAAATGTGTCGGTTAGATGGCATGATGTATTGATATTTTGTAGTGCTGTATCTTTAGTCAGGAAGTTGTGCAATATGAAGTTGAGTGCTTTATGAATGTCTGCTACATTTATCAGTACCTGTTCCAACCAAACCAGTAATCTCCTTAAAGAACGAGATCAGGTTTGTTTGACAAGGCCCATTTTCCAGAGACAGTTTAGATTGGCATTAATTTTATTCACCGTCTTTGCCAAGTGAATCTCTCACAAGCTTTTCCATTATCTTGCTTGAGATTGATAGATGTCAGATCCCCAGTTTCTTCGGTGCCTTATAGAATATTATCTCAAATAGAGTCTTTCCATCTTTTGGAATTTCACGGGTATGAAACGATTTATTAACATTCACAGCAAAGCATCAACTGTCCCCTCAGTCAACTCTTTCAGAGCCTTCTGAAAACTGGATGATCTTGGAAAGGTGTATTCTTGGTAGATTTGGCTATTATTTCTTTCATTTACTGTGAAATCCTTTCTTTTACTGAAAACAGTGTTGTCTTCACGGAAAATGTGTAATTTCTCTTGACCTTTTCAGGATGGAAGTGTTTGGAGAGCGTTTCTCACTATTCTGCATTATTATCCATAATGGTTCCCCCTCTCTCTAACAAAGGCTCATAGTATTGATAAGATTTCTTTTGCTTTTATTATATGTTAATTTTTCCTTTTTATATGCCTTAACACTACCTGCAATAGAGTTTCCCCTGATGACTTCAGCTTTTCTTATCAATTATCTGCATCTCAGAATTTCTTAAGGATAGCTGTTCTCATGTATTTTCATTTCTTATAGTCTTAGTTTTTACCTTTTTTTTTTTCTTATTGACCTGATAACCATCTTGTTGTTTGATCTTGATTTGGTGGTTTTTTTGGTCCTTGAATCTATTTTCTAAAGGAAAATCTGGTTTTTCTACCCCTATTTTTATTCCTACCTTCTTTAGCCCAAAATTTCCCTGAGCACTGGGAAACAGCACTTTTGAAACACTAACTTAGGACTGTCTTCTGTTTATCTTGCACATAATCAGGTCATGACCACTGGTGCCTTAGTAACCATGAGCTAGAATTCTAGCCCACTGATTAATTCATTTTTATACACCATAACTCTGTTTGGGATCGGGGTACCTGGTCTTATGTGCACTACCTTTTCCATTGAAAATAAAGGTTGGGCTGGTGGAAGCAGCCTGGAGCATATTAGACTAACGGCAAAGGTGAAAGCGCTAAGGAGGAAACTCAGTATATAGTTGAAATCAGCATTTCACAAACAAACAAAGGAGTACGGAAAAATGTAGGGAGAGTTGTAGGCTCCTTTTATAGCAGCTTTAGGAGAGTGCTATGAATTTTAAGCAGACTCCAGTACTACAGCATGCTAACAGATCAAAATTGCAACCAAGTATGGGTGTTTGCTGTCTTTACCACCCCTGATGTTCCCACCACACTCATCCCCAGCAGGTTGCAGTGATGACTGCACAGCAGGTTGTGTCCTTCCAAACACAGTGTCTGTGCTTATGGGGCACCTGTAAGAAGACTCAGAGGATGGCTGAGGATGGAGGCCAAGAGATAGCAGAAGTGCATCAGAAAGATCAAAAAAGAACTCATCTTTTCAACTGGCCTGCACGTCTGCTTGCGAAGGTATGGGAAAATGCTTTAGCCAGGGACGCATGGGTAATAAAGATGGTCCCAAAGCATCTGGAAAGTCCTTTTGTTTGATCAAGTTACTGCGAGGTGAATGTGTATTTAGTTGATCTGCCCGTTCTTCCAAAGAGCAAATGTTTAAGAGTCCATTTTAAGACAAAATCCATCTGTTTCTCCAACACTTTTGAGAAACAGTTTATTTTGGCTAAAATTAACTTGTCTGACACATTGTCATGCTTGGTTACTACAGCAACAGTGGCAACAGCTATGCCACATGATACCCGTTTTATCTGAAATTAACCATATTGCTTTTTACTTTCAAATATATATATGTTTTTATATATAAACATATATACTTATGTATATGTATGCGAACACTATTCACAGTTTTGCAGCAGGCTCTCATCCAGCTGAAAAAATCCTGTTCAGCTGACCAAATTTAACAGTAATGCCCAAAAGAACATTTCTATCCCGAGCCTTACTTCTTGATTGTGAGTGCTAGCAGTTTTCCCAGTTGTTTACCAGCAAAAGATACAAGACTTCCCTGCTCAACTTTCAGTTTCATTTAGGCACACACGTCACTCCTGATATCCCCAGAGCACTTTGCGTGAGACCACCAGGCTGAAGAGGTAGAAGAACATTTGAGGCTGAGTTGTGCATCACCAAAGCTGGGTAAGTAGGACAAGTTAAAAAGCAGTAATGTTTTGGCCAACGTTTTCCCAAAACATTCACGTGCTTTCCTCACCAGGAAGTTTCAAAATGTGACCAGCTTTAACACGGGGTCCTAACATGACCTGTTTATAATGGAAACTCAAAGGCTTATATCAATGTGAAACGTCACCATTGTAGTGGCAGATAAACCGTGGATGTTAAAAATCTGCCTTAAAATCTTATGCGGTCCTGACCATATGCAAGGCCTTCTTTCCCCCTCTTCTGTGACCTCTGTAATTTTGCCAGCTGCCATTCACATCCACAGCAAACTAAAAATATAGGCCGATCTGCTTCCTTCAGAGAAGTTCCTGGACAGTTTATAAGCCTGGGGCTTTCAATGCAGGCAAAGGGGGAAAAAATCCACTCTCAGTTGTAAAGTACTGTAAAGGTAAGCTTAAAATCTCATTTGATATGACTAAGAAGAAAAGGATATGACATGCTTTTGGTCTTTCAAAGCTCTCGGTATGCTAGATGGCTATAGAAAGCTTCTATGTGCAAGAATGAGCCCTGAAGCTAGCAGGAAAAATCAATAAGAAGAAATTATGCTGGAAATATCAGAATCAATAATTATTTAAAGGACGTCTTCCTTGCCCAGGAACAGTGCAAAGCGAAACAGGCAACGTGCCCAAAACAGGCCAGCGGAGGAAGTGAAGAGAACTGGGAAAAGCTCTTTAGAGTCCATACGCCATCTATCACAGCCTGAACAATCTTTCAGTTAAGAGCTGGGGCAAGTGGCTGGGAATTTAATCCTTTGTATATAAATTGTTAGATGATATTAAGTAAATGCTTTTATTGCATACTGTATAGTCTGATGCAATTTCATTCCCAGGCCATATATATTTTTTGTAACTTCAAGCAATTACACCAAGGACCGTAGCCTTAATGGGTGCTTCTGAAATGGAAGAAATGATGCTGATTTGCTCAACTGACTGATTAAAGCCCTACCTGCTACAGAATTGCAGAGAATCCCCTTCAACACAAATGGCTTTTCCTCGTCTCCACTTCTTTGTGGTCTGCCAGTGAGGCCTAGGAGAAAGATCAGCTTGAGATACCAGCTGGTCTATCATTAAAATGTAGACCAAGTGTGAAGTTGAATAAGTCATGCATTTATAGTGAACAAACACAAGAGGGTGCAATAAGCATGTCCAGAAACTTTTTAGCCATCATGGAAACATCTTAGGCTCAGAAACTGCAGCTCTAATATATCCATTGATTTGTATCTATTATTTAGAGCACACCTACGTCAGAGGCAACGCTGAGCTACTACCGCAGCATTCAAGGTAGAAGATGAGGCACCATGAATCTGGATTCAGGAAGCACATGCAAAGTAGTCTAGTTCTGCAAAGAAAGGAGGATGTTCTGTCTGTGAACTCCGTGTATGGATCAGAGAAACCAAACCAGGCAACATGCTAACAAACAAAAGAAAAATGATCACAGACAAGTTATTACAGAAGGTATAGGTCACATGTCAAAACTCACTGTCTTCCTTAAGGTGAGGCCTGTCAGCTTCCTGGCATGGAGCATCACTGAAAAGTTAGCAAGGATAAGGTGAACCCAGGACAACCCAGATGCTCTCTGTTGTATTTGAAGCTGACAAAAAGTACGTTTTGCCCCACGATATTCAGTCAGCTCCTGAAAGTTACAGAAATCAGACCAGACCAAGAGTTCAGAGGTCCCAGGTCATTCAACTAGCTGATGTTAGAAACAGATCTCCTAGGTGCCTGTCCTCTGCTTTAGAAACCAGGTAGAACTTGCTTTTTATTAGTTTGTCTGCCTCAGTTATGTCTCAGCTACACTGAGTGAGAGCTTTGGAACCAGAGTTTCCGAAATTGTCTTATTTCCCTTGAAATCCTCAGTTCTATAATATTGTCCTTTGAAATCCCAGTGGTGGTGACAAGAATTTTCCTGTGATGCAAGTGGCAGGTCCGTTACATCAGCGTGATACTTCTTGTATGTCCCAGTGGACATTGTGTTGCCGCAGTTCGGTTGTCTTTCTCTGAAGAGACCGAAACAACATTGAGTCATTACAGATTATATGGAACTTTTAACAGCAGAAAAGCCTGAAGTCCAGTGCCATCACGAAAGTCCATAGCCATGCTGCTCTTACGAATCCCTTCTGTAGTCAGAGCTTGACATAGACCTGTGTGGCTTCAGCTTTCTATCAAGAGAGAGCTGCAGATTCACCCCACCATGGACTCTAGTGTTATCGCTCTGACAAAATGGTGAACCTCAGCTGGCATAAATGAATGCAATCCTACCAATGCTAGCTGAACTCACCTGCCTTAGATAGCCGAGGATCTAGCCTGTTAGCCTTTCCTGTATACTGAATAAGATGAACATTTGAAAATATAAATGCAATTTTCTACTTGAGAACTTTCTGCAGCTGGGTGCCTGGCTCAGTACTTTTCTATTGTCGACTTATGCAGTACAAGAACTGCAAAACAATTTTATCAGAATTTAATCAAATCTGTGCTGTGACCTGCAATGCAGTGTAATTCATATAAGTAAAATCTCTGATTGCTGTGATGCTGAGCATGGACATCAGGGCATGATGTTTGGACCTTATTGCAATCAGTGGTGAGCTTTCCATGCTCACCCAGTTACCACAACAAGACCTTACCAGCTAAATCCTGTCATGCACTAGTCGTTAGCCTCTGACTGAAATGGGACCGCAATTCTATCTTATATCTAATGTTACACTTTGGATAGCATTAGGGGATTAACATTAAAGGATAACATTACGGCATAACATTAAGATGTTTTTCTTTCTTGGGAGGATTATGAAAGAAAAATACAGGAGAGTGTAATAGAAGGTGTTTTGGCAAAGAAACATTTTAATAGCTAGGATCTATGAATTGGATTTAGTATTATCTTGCGATATGTCCTCTTTGTACCTTGGATTATTCTTCTAGGAAACTGATATATCAGTTCTTTCCTGACACGTATGATGAATCTGTGACTCGCAGAAATCCCCCAGGTTACCCAGTATAGTGCTGGGAAGGTGCAAATTACTTCTCTCGCTGTTCTGTAGGCTGAGCACATGAGGCAGATTAAGTAGCATATCCAGGGACTCAGACCTTACACAGCAGTCTCAGGCTGGGGTTTCCTAAGGGAAACAGCAGCAAGCAGAATATCAACACTGCCATTCTCTCTGGACACATCTACTTCTCACGTATAAAACTCAGTGAGAAAATCAATGGACTATTGGCAAACTAACTGATGTGAATCCTCTGGAACTGAGATTTTGATTTTACAACGCAAGCCATTGACTCTTGGCTGTATGCAACAGTAATAATTTTAATTACCACCACCACCACTGTATTGTATTAAGAAGGTACTTTAAATGCCAAAATAGAGTGCTGGGTTTTATTGAATTGTATATTTTAGCTGCACACAGACATTATAGACATTCAGTACAATTTGTCTTAAAATGAAAACAGCAATAAAGCTGAATCAACCAGTTCTTATGTCTTTTTTCACTTACTTTCAGAGAAGGGCTGGCACTCTCAGCCTGACTCGCTGTTTTGTGGGAAGCCAGTGCAGAAGGCACAGAGCAGGCTCGGTGTGATGCCCCTGAGATGTGCTAAGTCTAAATATGTTGCAGTGTCACTGTTCAACAATGAAAGCATGAGTAACTGAGGCTCAGCTATCCCTAGCTAACCAAAGATTGCTGAAAATTTTATCAAAGGGTGATGTTAGAGCAAACGTTAGTACCAAAGTGGACACCAGGAACTCTCCTAAGCAGTTCCCCAGGGCTGAGGCACAGTGGCAGACATAAGACTGGTGCATATGGGCACTTAAAAGAAATATTTTCTAGCATAATTTTTTGGGGGTAGAACTTTCAGTGTTGGTAAAAATCAAAGCTTTCCATGACGAGTGTTAAATTAATTTAAATAGTTTTCATTTCTCAATAGTTTTCATTTCTCATTGAATAATTGTGTTTTGATTGGTTTTCTGGTAAAAAGAGAACAAAGCAAGAGTCATTTCTAACCAGCTCTACTTCTGTTTGGCTCACTTTCTGAAAGAATCTACAATAGGTAGATGTGTGTCCTAAGAAGAAGAGTAAATTTGTTTGAAGAGAGGGGACTGTACCTTTAAGTTTTGTATATTGATACGATACTTTTAACAATCTTGTAAAATAATTATAAAAGGAAATCTATTTCCTCTGTAATTTGAAATAGCTTAGATTCCAGCTAGCCCTAGAATGGCTCTAAGTATCTCAGATGAAATAGAGGACAAAATACAACTATGAAAAAAGAAAGTGTGTAATAAAATAATATGTTGATATTTGAATTGTCAGATAAGCCTGTCCTCAAGAGAAACTGAAAATCATGTCTTTTCAGAGGCAGAAAAACTGTATCTTACATTAGGTTTGCAGGAAACAGTTATGTTTGGGTTCAATAAACCTTATTTCCTTCAGCCCCCACAGGTAATATTTCCAGTACCGAATGTGGAAGTCAAAGTGGTGGTAGGAAATGAACTTTTCAGAACGTCAAAAACTCGTATTTATGGGTATGATTCTTGCTTATAGTGAAAGTCTCCATGCAAATCCTGGAAGTGCCCCTGTGAGGAAATAGTTGCAACTATAATATATACAAAGGAAAGCAAGATGACCTATTAGACATTAGTCTGGGATCTGGAGGACCCAGTGTTATTTCCTGCTCTGCCCCATGCTATATTCCAGATTCAGCTAATCATCCAGCTAATCATCATGGAGGTCACGGGAGATAGACTGGAGATGCTTCATGCTAAAGCAGTTACGTTACATTACGTTACTAGTGTCAACCAAAGAAGGAAAAACAAGAATGAAGAGCATTACAGATGAGCTTTAATATGTGCCTCGATTTAGTTCATAAACTGATGCCTTATTTATATGCAGAACTATTCTGGTAAAAATTAGTACATACTTTGTCCCATATGGATCATTATGATTGTTTTCAGGCTAGGGATTACAAAGCTTTTGGAGTTTCTACAGGCTTCAAAGGAAAAAAAAAAAAGTGGGTAAGTCAAAAGAAATTTTCCAGCAGAGCTTTTACTCTCAGTCCCTGATGACCAAAGAGAATCTGATTTGGAAGGATGTGTATAAATTAGAAACTGGATAGCGGGTTTATACGGTGTGTAAAGCCAACATTTGTTAAGTTTAAAGCTAAATTATCTGGTTCGGTGTGGACTTCATTGTCCAACTTCAGGCACTTCAGTTTGAAAGCATTAGCTGAAATCTAAAAAACACACGCCTAAGAATGGTTAATCAAGGACACAAAATTCTGCTAAATAATTCACGGACATTTCATATACCGAATAAGGAGGAAACAATTTGAACAGATTGAAGTTAAAAATATGTTTAAAAAATAATCTTGCCTGAAAAGTCAATAAAAATCTCTCAATATTTACCTGCAAGCTGTCTAGTTAATAGATTTTTTAATTCAAAGAACGACTCCTTTATAGATCATTCTAAATGCATATTTTATGATATTGTACATAAAGACAAACAGAAATTAAAATCACGTTGGGACAAAAGCCCTGATTTTGGAGTGAGGGCATTTGTCATCTATTTTCAGTTTGTCCCTAAACCTTGGCTGACATTTAAGGTCTTTGCGCTTTAGTATCTCTAGCTCTAAGACAAAAATAATGTTTCTAACTTACCCTTTTGAAAATTGATTTATCCCTAGTTTTAAAGGACTTGGGGATCTTCAGAGAGAAATGCAAAGTATTTTCGTTGTCGCTGTGGAACAGTCAAGCTACTTGCTGCACTGTCCTACCTCTGCTACCTCCTCACACCAAACACAGTTGTGTCTTTCTCCCAAAATAGAATTTTTAGTATATTATCTTGGAGTAAGTGGCTTTAGATGAATGACTGAAGAGAGATGCCTACCATTGCCTGATCTGACTGGGTCATGAGTATGTGAAGAATCATGCAGGTCTTATGACTGTAGGTCCAAAGCAGAATTCAAAAGGTATGTGAATCCTCAAAGATAGCTCCACTTTAACGTATGTCAGGTATGGACCCAACTTGTATCCACTTAGGGTGTGCGGGAAGTATTCTTATTATTTTATTCCATATACAAAAGGCCTTTTTTGCAATTGTCTGGAATTATTGGTGTTACTGGTGCACGTTTGCAAAAGGCATCGAGCTTGAGCACTCATAACCAGAGCTTCTGGGGAGGCTTAATCCAGCGTTTTGTCAGCTTCTTTCCTTTGGCTGGAGGGGGTAAGATTTTACAGGTTACCACTTGTGGCCCTGGCCGTTCTCTTGACCTTAACCACCGTAGTAACTGTGATGCCTAACTGAAGTTTGCCAAGGAGGAGGCATTATTACAGCTCTAATTGATAATCCCAGCCCTTTCTCGTTTGACAATTTTGAATCTCAAACCTGCACAGAAACTCTGCATGTGTCATGCGTGAGACTGATTTAATACCATTTGGTCCCCCAATTAACAAGGTGAGGTATGCAATTCCACTTTTAGATAGTGCCTTCCTTCCGTATTGTGCTTACTTTGTGCTTTGTTTACTTTAACAGAAGATTTGCTTGTGCTACTGCTGCTTTTCACATTAGTTGTGTACTTTGGGTGATGGATTGCCTTTACAAGCTGCTGTTTCTCATTTATTCTTTAAACAAGAGCTGAGCAGTATTGGCCATAACATTTTTAAATGTATTAATGTTCTTAATGGCATTAATCTTCTGGGAAAGTAGTTTAGACAGAGGATATAATGAACGTTAATGAAGCCAACTCTTTCTTCAGTCTACTCTGTGCTAGGATGGTGCCATGTATTCTTGTCTTATTCCCTTGTAATTTTAAGCAAATGTTTCATGTGATGATTGCCCTCTATTTGGCACTTGTGAGACTGCACCTGGATTACAGTGCCCAGTTTGGGGCTCTCCAGTAAAAGAAAGATGTCCAATGTGAGTCTAATGGAAGCTACTAGGATTCTGATCTTCAGCTGACAGATATGGAGAAGACAGGGCCAGGCTCTTCCCAGAGGTGTACCATGACAGGATGAGAGGCAATGGACACGAGCCACAACAAGGAAAATTCTAGTTGAAAAGAAGGAAAACATTCTTTCTTGTAAGGTAATTAAACACTGGCACAGGAACACAAAGAGATGGGGGAACCTCCATCCTTAGAGATATTCAAAACTCATCTAGACAAAGCCATGAGCAACCTGACTTTGAGCAGGGGATGGACCCATTGACCTGCAGAGGTCCCATGCAACCTAACCTATTCTGTCATTCCAAGGTTTTAGTTACCATTAAAAAAATCCCAAAACCTGGGTTTCACTTCGTGAAATGGGTGATCAGCTGTATGTTTACATACAACTTCAGCTTTATGTGTGAAAATAAAACAATCCTTTGTATCTCTCCATTTCAACAAGTACAGTTTTCATGTAAACCAATCTCTGTTTCTATTGGCATGCCTCTGTGGTCCTCCACCTCATATTTGACTATTCTGCAAAGACTCTGGGATTTGGGAAAGTAATCAAAGCAGAATGAAATGAAGGCTATGTATACATATTGCTACTGGGAATACCCTATTCATAACATGTCCAAGCTAGCTTGGAGAAAAGTAACTGTCCAGCTTCTGGTTTCCACAGTAGCTCCTGCACCACCATGCTTTCTGCACGTCTAGTCTTTTCTAGCCCTGGGCAGCTTCTGAGCTCCAAGTTTCACTAGCCTTCCCTTCATTACCCCCAGCCCCTGTGCACCCCTACAAAAAAAAAACCCCAGAGGGACTTCCTCTCTCTGTCCCGTCCAGCTCTTCAAGAGCTGCCTGAGACCTTCTTCTGCTGGAAGAGGAGATGCAGTTGATCTTACAGTGCTGCTGCAGACA